AATTAAATCTACAGAAAAAAACCCTTCTTTCATAGCCTAAACAATTATGGTCATGAGGGTTTGGTAATAATTATAATTATATTGCACAATGAAATACAAAATAACAAAAAAGCCTTTCCTTTTAATAGTATTATAATATTTGCATTGCTTATTTTTTGTCTTGAAAAACATAATATAACCACCAAAAACAAACAATGAAAATTAAATTTCAATAAATTAATGACTTCATCATTATGTAGAGGGTATTGAAATCTTTTAATCACTATTCTAAAAGGCTGTTTTTGGTGGCTGAATAACCTCGCACAAGCCGTTTAAATGAAGTGAGGGTCATCCACGTGTTAGAAGATTTTTTTTTAATAATATTAAATATATAATAATTACAATAAAATCTTAAAAACACACCTTAAAATCTACAAGGAAAAAACAAAACAAAACCAGAACAACCTTTCCAAGAGAGTTTTTTTTTTTAGTTTGTTTTGTTTTTAATAGCATCAAAATAATTGCATTATATCTAATAAAAAAAAAACCTAAACACCATTTAATCTAAAGCATACAAAATATTCTAATCAAAGACTATAGTAGCTATTGCACTGTGCATAGAAAAGGTAAAAAGACAAATCTAACCCCATACAACATATTAAAGACAATTATATCACTGTAAAAATACATTCTTTCCTCCAATGCCCAAGCCAATGGGTTTTTCTTGCAAGGTCAGTTTCGTACCTCCACCATTACAACGAATAGTTACTCGTCTCCATGACCAACGTAAAACCTCAAGGGGAATTAGTGTTTTGAATAATACAGCTAGAAAACCCTAATTCTTTTAATATAATCTAGGCGGTGGAGTTTTTTATGATAGAAGGCCTTTATGTGTTTTGGCCTCGTCTGCCATGATCGGCGGCGACAAGCAGTGTTGACACTCACAGAATTGGGAGCTACATGCCACTGGTTTTCAGCTACAGTTTGATGCATCGCCAAGCAACCGATTTGAATTGCAGAAATTCCACAAATCCTCTGATAAATTTATCGGGATGCGTACGAATACGGTGTTTCGCATGTAATTATTTTATTTATACGTCTTGACACGTGTGTCGAAATCATTCAACGGTAACAGTTTGAATGAAATCATATACGACGACCCACCGTGCAAACACCCTAAATTCGAGGGGCCTGCTGACCCGTTGGCACCAAGCAACATCTAGTTTGACATTGTCAAACGACGACTATAATCGATTTATTCATTTAAGTCGTTAAATAAAGTTTTAAAAATAATTTATGTTATTTTGTATTTAATTTTTATTAATTAAAATAAAAATAATACAATTTGAACTCATTATTATTTATTTAATGAATCTATATCAGAAAAATAAATTTAATCTAGAATTTAAAGGTATTAAATAAAGTTCTAATAATAATTTTATATTATTTGTCTAACATACGTATTAATGCATCTCATGTAATCATAATTAAAATATAATCTTCAGCCAGCTTTGTGATCATTTATGCGTAATCTGAGATTATGAAGAGACGACGTGCCTCCTTCTTCCAATAAAAAAAATGGTTATTTAACTTGTTTATATCATAATTGCTATAGCATAACGGGCATAACGGGTTGATTTGAGAGACCTGGAAAGCAAAACTGAATTTGAGTTAAGTTATTAGTTGAATTAGATTAAATATTGATTAGATGAATTTTAATTGCTTTTTTAACAGTCTAGTAAGATTAGTTTAGTATTAAATATATATTTTTTTTAAAATCAAACAATTCTATTTTAATAAAAAAAACAATTAATCTGAGTTGACTTCTAATTACCCGTGAAGTGGTCAAATGATCCACTAACTTTATTTTTTTTCCGAATTGGACCACAGTATTATGGTGGCGACCACAACCTAGGAAAGTGAAAGGTCCCTCAAGTATATATATGTATTGGTGACGCCACCTTGATGAACAAGTACACAGAGACTTGAGGCAGGCTGATTGGTTGATCTTTGAATTGTCCAAGAGAGACTTGCGTGCGTTTTTTTTTTCAAAAGAGGAAACGGGTAGCTTAACCAGGACAGTTTACCGCTAGTCTTCTTGTTTGATCACAGGTAAATCTCTGTCTGCTCATCTTCTTTCCCACGATAGATTTTCTTGTTCTTTAATCTCTTCTAGGTGCCAATCAACTAGAGAAATGTTGTTAACGTTCTTGACATGACGAGTTGTCAGCCTAATGTAGCATATACGTGATTGTGCAGTTGACTGTGTTCACAGGGGGAGATTGCTAGCACCAAAGATTAGGCAAGGTAGAAATCATGGGAGTTTCTGAAATGGAAAAATCAGGATTTGGTTCAAATAGGTTTCCAAAAATGGTGGTTTCATTTTTGATAGCTTTCTTTCTGCTGTACATGCTCTCCATGGCATACAGAAGCTCAACTTTTGATCTAATTGGGGAATTTGCCAAAGTTCATGTCACTGGAGAAATGGCTGGAAATGTTAGTAGAGCCTCAGGTACAGATAAATCCATTGCTCACAGCTTACTTTTCCACACCTGTATATTCTATAGTTCTCAGACAAAAAACCAGAGAATTCGAATCTTCCTAGTTTGTAATCTCTTTTCGTTTTCTGGGTTTCAGAGTCGGAAGACAAACATTCATCTCACCCTGAAAGGGTGGTGGTTGATAAATTGCTTGGTGGACTTCTGGCTCCAGGATTTGATGAAGAATCCTGCATAAGCAGGTACCAGTCGAGCTTGTGTCGCAGAATTTCACCTCATAAGCCCTCTTCCTATCTTGCATCGAAGCTGCGTAAATACGAAGAGCTTCACCAGCGCTGCGGACCTCACACTGAATCCTACAATAGAACTCTGAAAGAATTGAGTTCTAGCCATATCAATGGTACAACAGACTGCAATTACGTTCTTTGGACGCCTGCTAATGGCTTGGGGAATAGGATTATCAGCATGGCTTCATCATTTCTGTATGCTGTTCTCACTAACAGAGTCCTACTTGTCGATCATGGAACTGACATGGCTAATATCTTCTGTGAGCCGTTTCCAAATACATCATGGTTACTGCCCATGGATTTTCCTCTCAGTAATCAATTCTACGGCTTGCAATCAGGAAATGTTCAAAGTTATGGGCAGCTGCTAAAGAATAACAACATGAACATCTCAACTGTGTCGCAGCCACCGCCATTTCTTTATCTATATCTATCTTTTAACAATGATGAATATGATAAGCTTTTTTACCTGGATCAAAACCAGGGTTTTCTCCAAAACGTCCCTTGGTTGATTCTGAAGTCAGACCAATACTTTGCGCCTTACCTCTTCTTGATCCCATCTTTCCAGCAAGAACTAGACAAATTATTTCCTGATAAGGAGACTGTTTTTCACCACTTGGTTCGCTATCTTTTCCACCCTTCAAATCAAGCCTGGGGACTAATCACCAGATTCTATCAGTCTTACCTGGCCAGTGCAGAGCAGAGAATTGGTCTTCAAGTAAGAGTATTCAATAGAAAAGCGAGTCCAATTAAAGTTGTTCTGGAGCAGATACTAGGCTGCATTAAAAAAGAAAAGCTGCTGCCTCAAGTAGACGAGGAAAAACATATAGCTCCTCCATCAAAAAACAAGACCTCAAGAGCTATTACCATAGCATCATTATATCCAGAATACTACGAAAGCATAAAGAACGTGTATTGGATGAGACCAACTGTAAATGGTGATGTTATTGGGGTCTTCCAGCCAAGTCATGAAGAGGCTCAACAATTTGGGAACAACATCCACAACATCAAGGCATGGGCTGAAATAAACATCCTAAGTTTGAGTGATGTTCTGGTGACTAGTTCTTGGTCTACTTTTGGCTATGTAGCTCAAGGTCTAGGAGGATTGAAACCATGGATTCTATATGTTCCTACCAGTGGCCAAACGAGTGACCAGCCGTGCCCAAGAGCCATGTCTATGGAGCCATGTTTTCATTTTCCTCCTAATTATTACAAAAATGGAAGTAACAGACGGAGACTTGACACTGTTCCCCCCGTTCCTCATATCAGGCAGTGTGAGGATGCAAGCACGGGAATAAAGCTTGTTAATGATTAAGCATTTTTAGTAGCTGCATTAATTAGTGATTCATCTTGTAATAATCTGATCATATTCAATATTTTGCTATCAAAAATCCATTTTTCAAATGTGCTTTTCTGCTCCTTTACCTTACTCTCCATCTGGCTGTGATCCCTCCATTACATTTTTCTTTTTGATAGAAATTACTAATTTCTGCATCATTTTATGCTCTCATCACTGCTAGATGTAAACGTACAATCTGAAAATCAAAATATTGGCCTGCTGCTGCATTTTTCAAGGACTTGAATGAAAGATTCTTGGACAAAGTAGGATGAGCAGGCTGACACCGAAAACTCAAGGGAAATTTAGTAGCTTTTGCAGGTTTAAGAAAAAAAAATATAAAATGTAGCTTTCCCGTAACTAAAATTTAAATAAAGAGTTTTCAATGAGACCATGCAAACTTCTCTAAGCACTGATTTCTTTATCCATGTGTACTATCAACTTTGTCCATTGTTCATTCTGGCTCATGAATGAAGTTACAAAATTATTTATGCATATTTTTGTAACCATTCCTTGCAAGTTGCATCAAAGAATCATCCAGATACAGGGTAGGAATGAAAGAAAAAGATTACTTTGTTTCTGATGTAAACTTTCTCACACATTTGTGACTGGATTTTGAGAAACTTAAGTGTCTGTATGCTCAAGACACAGACCCTCTGCTACATCTAACAAGCTGTAACTTATGTTAGAGAATCACTTTCAAGTTGTATCGCAAGATGTCGCCCCATAAGCCCTCTCCCTATCTCCTTTCGAAATTATGAACAGCTTCCTAAACGCTGCGGACCTTACACCAAATCCTACAATGGAACCATAAAAAGACTCAAGTCTATGCACAGTGGAAGCACCAACTGTAAATACGTTGTCTGGATACCTGCTAATGGCCTAGGAAACAGTATGCTAAGCATGGCTGCGACATTTCTTTATGCTCTCCTCACAAACCAAGTCCTACTTGTTAAACATGAAGCTGACATGACTGATCTCTTTTGCGAGCCATTTCCCAATACATCATGGTTGTTGCCTACGGATTTTCCCCTCAGGAATTTTAGTCCTGAGGTAAGATATGCCAGCAGTTTTGGAAGCATGCTAATGAAAATTACCAACACTTCAAAGGAGTCACCAGAATCATTTCTCTATCTTAATCTAGCACACAGTGACTATGATCTTGACCAATTAGCATTCTGTGGTCAAAACCAAGCTCTTCTCCGAAACATTCCGTGGTTGATACTTCTATCAGATCAGTATTTTGTCCCTTCTTTATTCATGATACCATCTTTCAACCAAGAAATAAGCAAATTGTTCCCAGAAAAGGAAAGTGTGTTCTACCATTTGGGTCACTATCTTTGCCACCCCTCAAATCAGGCCGGGGGACTGATCACAAGGTTCTACCAGGCTTATCTAGCCAAGGCAGATGAGAGGATTGGGCTCCAAATAAGAGTATTTCACGATAAGACCACTCCAATATTCCAAATTGTTATGGATCAGATTTTAGCTTGTGTCCTGAAGGAAAAGCTCCTGCCAGAAGCAGTAGATACACAAGAACCTATGCCTTCTCCCTCAAGAAACCAGACATCAAAAGCTATTCTATCAACATCCCTATATTCCCCATAATACTATCAGAAGATGCATAACATGTATCGGACAAAACCAACCGTGACAGTTTAAGTCATTGGTGTTTACCAAACAAGCCATGAAGAGTACCAACATGCTGGAGATAATATGCACAACGTGAAGGCATGGGCTGGAATATATCTTCCTAGTTCGTGTGATGCACTGTTGACTAGTTCTTGGTCTACCTTTGGCTATGTTGCTCATGGTTTAGCAGGTTTGAAGCCATGGATTTTGCGAAAGGTAAATCCAACTTGCCTACGAGCCAATATCAATGGAGCCATGTTGTCATTATCCTGCAAGACTTGATTGTAAGACAAGCATCAAAGTCAATGCTGCTACTCTTGTTCCTTGTGTCGTACATTGTGAGGACAGGAAGAACGGGGTTAAACTGGTTGATGAACATGGACAACTGTAGCTGTGATTACCAGTAACAACTTTTTATTGATTTTTTCGTTTCTTGCATCAACAAAAGAGTTTCCATCACACCTTCAATTCAGGCCCTTGCTGTAAATACATCTCCTCCTCCTCCTCTTGTCCCCCCACCCCACTGTTTTTGATATCGGTAAATTCATTGTAAGGTCCCTTAGTTTTGGAAAGTGATTAAATCAACCCTTGTACTTCAACTTTGAAAAAACCACCCTCCACATTGAATTTATTCTGAAATGTAATTGTTTCATTTAAAAAACCCCAGAATAACTTTATTATTGTAAAAAAATGAGTTAATCCACTGATTCAAGGACTGACCTAACCAACTGTCTTATAAATATAATCCATGGTTCAGAATTTGGGATTTTTTTGTTCCGGGGGGGGGGTCTTTGGTTTTTTTCTCTAAGTTCGAGGTGTTTTTTATAATTTAACCTGAAACAATTAATGAAATTGGGAAAAGACTGAATTGGCCCATATATATTAAAGCACCAGAGACTTCTCTTCTCCTTCAACCACGGTTTTCCTACTCACTCCCTCGCCTCTCGCAGTTCAAGCCGGAGGAAAGCACAGACACCTTCGCCACCAGCCTTAGCTGCCATCTCCTCCTCCTACAGCCTCCTTAGCGCTGCCACCTTGAGCTTGAGGTGAATTTACCTCTCTCTTCTAAAATATAAGAGTGTAAAATCATCTTGAGTGACTGTGTTGCCAAATTAATCATAATAACCACAATAAGATTTATCAAATAAAGATTGGACTTTGAGATTTCGGGGTTTAGACTTCTATTCTGAATTTCTTTGTGGGTTTCTTTTTTTTTTTTTTGGATCTCATACTTATGTTTCTGATCAATTTGTTTATGGATATGTGCTTGCTAATTTTCACAACTTGTTTATGTTTTTTTTTTTGGGGTTGATTTTCTTAGATGATTGTGATGATGTCAAAACACACAAGCTTGCTTAAAATTGCTTCTGATGGTTTCAGAACAACAAACTCGCCAAACACATTCAGATTTCCTTTTCTTTGTTTATCAAATTTTTGCAGCAATGGCGACGGATCAAAGGAAAAGGACAATGGATGCATTGGAGAGAAGGTTTGCTGTTGCAAAAGCGGAATTGGTTCAACAACAGCAAAAGAAACACAAAGTAACACACCATGAGGGACATAGGAAAGAAAATAACAATGCATCCTCTACTTCATTGCATCGAGCGGATGCACCGAAGACTCCTTCCAGTAGCTTGTCGAAGAAAGGTTATTGTCTCGTTTTTGCTTGTGCTTCCGGATGTTGTGGTAATGATTTTGATTTATGGTAATTAGCTGGTGCTTTATTTATTTTTGTTTGCTTGTTTTTAGGGAGTTCTTTTTTCTTCGGCTACACTCCATCTCAAGGTAAAGTGTGCCTTATCAGTTTTAATTTTATTGTTTAGTGAGTACTAAATTGTGCCTTGTTTATGTAATTTCTATTTGGTTTGATAGAAAATGTATAGTTCTTGCAATTTGGTCAGATTGTAATTACTGTACGTAATCTTCATGAATAGATCCAGACGAAAATGGCTTAGCATATTCACAGCTCCCCCAAGCTGTACACGAAAACCTGTTGACGACTGGCGTCAAGGTGCTTGCTTTATTGTTGTCTGAACTATGACTGTTAAAGTTTCCTTCGGTAAGTTCTTTATTATGAGCTTTTTGGGTTTCATATTTCTGTGGTATTGCGCAGTTTGAGAGTAAAAAGGTGAGTGTGGTCGACAAGATTTTGCACGAGCTTTTTCAGCACGGTGATGCTTCTCAGAAGTACATGCAGGGATCCAGAAACATAAAGATTGATAACTGGATCCTTCTTGATAATTATGTACCAAGCAAATCTGCTGGTTCTCAGACTAGAGCTTCACAATCCAACCCAAAGCATTCGAGAAGGCACATGTCTATGAAGCAATATAAAAAACTTGGGATGTTCAATTTGCCTCAAGATCTCCAAAAGTGAGTTGGGTACTCCTTGTGGATTTGGTTTCTGTTTGCATTTGCTTTTTTTAAATCTGCACTTGCATTATGGTTAAATATTATATCCATACATTTGCTTGTGGCACATTGCTCCTCTATTTGAAGAACTTAGTGCCTTTTGTCTGGTTGAAATAATTTCCCACCCAATTCTGTGAAGAAAGAATATTCTTGATCATGCTCTCTTCTACCCTCTGTTTAAATCTGAGAAAAAGATGCTGATTTTGACAATTTCAATTTCAAACATGGACTGAGCGGCCAAACACTCAATTAAAAAAGAAAATACAAAGGTTGATTCATTACATCTTAGTGCAAGCATTTTATACTGTGTGATTAAAAAAAAATAAAAAAAATACAAAGGTTGATTCATTACATCTTAGTGCAAGCATTTTATACTGTGTCACTTTTGGTAGTCAGTTTCAGTTTCACATCTGCTAATTGCCACTCCCATATTTTTAGCTTCTCTGGCTTCTTTCTGGACCCAACCTGCTGCCATTGTCCAATTTTTGTTAACCTTTTTGCTATACTCTATTAGTTGTTACAAATTAAGAGAGATGAATGCCATAATTAATTGGTTCAAAATTTTGTTTTTACAATTACTCTAATTTGAACCATCCTTTCCACTCCGCTTGCCATAATTAATTGGTTCAATTTTTTTTGTTTTACATTTACTCTAATTTGAACCATCCTTTCCACTCTTAAAAACTTTATTATAGTTTGATCTGCATTGCAGATTTGATGTTTATAAGCCAATGCATGAGATATGGAAAGACTATATGATGCAGCTTCTCAAGAAAACTGGGTAAGATAACCATTCTTTTTAGCTTCATGAATGAGCAATCACACAATTCTTTCACTTGTTATCAGGTTTGGGGATCCTTTGACTATGCTTTGATTCCATCTTGCAGGAGGAACGAGTTGCCCAAATGTCTTCTGAGTGCAGATCTACATGGTGCTGCTATTCTAGGTCATACTCTTCTAAAGTGTCTTTTCAGATTTAGTGTTTCCATGGAGCTTTAGAGGCCATCATTTATGAGGGTTGCAAGAGCAATTCTTTTGCATATTAAAATGTTCAGCTGCTTTGAAGCCGTTCACTATTCTAGTTTTTCTGCTCTCCATACCATAGTATCGAGAGTTGTGCTCTGTGCTCAGGTTGTCATATTTGCTCCAATACTAACCTCTAAAACTGTTTTCTTGCAGTTGCTGACTGTAAGATAAAATCATTCACCGGAATTAGTGGTATTATGATTTGTGAAACTGCAGAAACATTTGGGATAATCACACAAGACAACAAATTGAAAGGTGATCTATTCATTACTCTACACCTCAACCTGGTTTACTTGACATTGGTAGGTGAATAATGCATATACATGAGATGATACCTTGCATTGTATTTACTTGTAGTATGATGGCCCATAGTATAATTTTTGGTATAGATGATTACTGCTACAGAGTATTATTCTTGGTGTGGAATAGTTTGGAGTTTGGTTTCTACCTTCCATCTCATTACAGAGCAATGCATTTTATCTGATTGAGATGGCCAGCTACTTGAACTGGCTTTAATAACAGAATTTTGAAATTTTAAGTTAAAAAGAGGGGCAGTGTCTCCTGCCAAATAGAACCAAGAAGTTTTCTTGTGACATTTTTAAGCGCATCTGTTAATCACAGGAAGTATGAAACATAAGTAATGGAAGGCTGACAGTATTTATCTGTGATTTTAAGTCTCTATATATATCATTGTAGTGTTTATACTACAACACTAAAATCTCCTTTTCTTATTGTATTTGCAGTTGTGCCCAAAAAGTTGTCTGTTTTTATATTTCAAATTGATTGCTGGAAGATCACAATGCTTGGGGACAAACTCTCCTCAAGAAACTCTGGCTTGTGATTTACATATTGCTCATTTCATCTCAGGTATCTTTTCATATATCTAGTTCTAGGAGATGAAAGTATACCAAAATATTTATGTTTTGTATCTTAGCAAGTTATGCATGCCTGAGGAATGGGTTGTCGAGGCATATTGTATTCATGCTCATAGAATGTAGCTTGTTAGTGGCACATATAAAGCTTCCTGTTTGTTTGCATGCCAATTTTTCTTTTAAATAGTGTCAATCAAATTTACCAGTTCCATCACTCATAGCGGTTTGAAATTCTTGTGTGATGCGTATGGTGAATGGGGATGATGTGCACAATGCGAAGGTCTAGGCTGAAATCAAACTCCCTGGTCTGAATGACATGTTGATGACTAGCACTTGGCCTGGCTTTGTCTATGTGGCTCGAGGTCGGAGGATTGAAGCCAAGGATTTTGTGTGAGCTCAGAGCGTGAAAAAAAAAAGATTCTGGATCCAAGTCAACAAAGCCACGACTGGAGCCTTTTCATCATGTTCATGACTGTCAGGTATTGCAGAAAGACGGTGCATTATTCCTTGTGTAAAGCACTGTGAGGATCATAAGCAGTGGAAAATGAAGCTGGTTTGCGATCTTGATTGAAAGGGGGTGTTTGGTACAATGATAAAGATTGTTTTTGTTTTTCAAGGTATTTTTTTTATTTGTAAATGTATTAATAATATTTTTTTTAAATTTATTTTTAACATTAACATATTAAAACAATTTAAAAATATTAATTTACAATTAATTTTTATGTTATAAAAAAACAAAGGCGAATTGTTGGTGACATGCTGCTCTGAATGGACATGAAAATGTAGTCTTGGTAACAGGCAACCATGTTGGAGCATCATTAATTATTCATAAACAACTGATGGTAGTTACATATTTTTCTTTGGTCCGCTCAAATTGAAAACCAAGATCTTCTCTCAAACACGTGGTCGTCATAAAACTGACCAAGATCTTCGTTGCCAAGCAGGCACTCCATTGGTGCTGATCAAGGTGAGAATTTTTGGAATTTTATGCAGAAGGCAGCAATGTATATCTCATACAAAACCATGCATGCAGCCCCAAATGAAAGGCCAGAGGCCGATAGAAGAGACAGACATGGGGCTGGTCGACATTAAGGGTATATTCGAAGATATAGTTAGGTTATTTTTTAAAGTATTTTTTATTTAAAAATATATTAAAATAATATTTTTTATTTTTTAAAAATTATTTTTTATATTAACACGTCAAATAATCTAAAAAAATTAAAAAATATTACTTTAAATTAAAAAAATAAAAAATATTTAAATTTTTTCGACAACATTTGTAAAACAAGGTTACAGGCCCGCAACCGACATTTTTCTTCGAACGCTCCTAGGAATGGACTGGAGGACGTTCAATTATTTTGCGTGCAGCATTTGTGGGTCCCCTTATCTTAAAGAGTAGAAGAAGCCAATGCATGCACTGAATAAAAGCATCAGACGCGACTTGATACACGCGCTACTGCCTTTTCTAACTCGTCTTCCATTATATTAAAAAAGTATTAATTTAATATTTTTAAAATAAAGAATATTGGAAGTTGGTGTCAAACAAACAGCCCTTGCAACTCGTATGATAATAATTAAAAATGTGGTCCCCCGAGGTGGTATCTACGGAAAAGAACAGACAGGACGTTTCTTGTTTGTTCTCTTGTAATGATCATCCTATCACCAGCTTCTGCCTCTTGCCAAAAAAACGTGTGCATGGCTTCAGAGCTCTTCTCGATTGAGCTCTCCCTTCCTGGGTGTAATAATTTTTTTTTTTTACAAACATTTTAAAAACATGAAACTATTAAATAATCTTTTTAATTTTATTTTATTAAATAAAATTTTAAAAATAATTTTATATTAAATTATTAGGGATGAAACTTGAAGACACAACAATTAAGTTATCAAAACTTTAATATTATATAAAACAATCTTCTGGATTTAATAATGAAACTATTAAATAATATTTTAAAAATATTTTTATATTATTTTTATATTATTTTTTATGCCATTTTATTTGAAAAAAATATTAAACTGATGTTTTATTTTGTTTTTCAATTATTTTTATGTGTTAATATCAATAAAATAAAATAAAATTGTTTTAATGTATTTTTAATGAAAAAAACACTTATAAAAATCACACATCACCTCATTAGCCCAGCTGGTCCTAGGAAGCTAAAGGGAGGAAGGAAGGAAGGGGAGAGAAAAACAGAACAAAGTTCTAAGTCCACGAGTAGAGGATGTAGAAAGCAACATCACCAGCAAAGAGATATAATATAACGGCTAATCCTAAGGCACTGCTAGGCAGAGTTCATATCCTCGGTTTTCTTGCCATTCTTCAACTCGGAGGTATCTTTTCATGCCTTGTTTCTTGAACTCCTGCTGTTAAGTTGGTAGAATCTTGTTGATCATAATATTTATCATGTTATAGTTTGACTTGCACCCATCCTTTTGTTATAGAGATGAATACTAGATAACAAGCGGATCGGTCCTTGTATGATCCACGGTATGACTTTTGAGCATTTGAGCCGTAACTTGACTTGATTTCACCAGATTTCTGTTGTTTAATGTGGTTTTACTTATCATACATACATGCGCTGTCCAAGTGTAGCAGCTGGACAACCTAAAAGTATATGAATCAGCACATGGGAAGGATATTGTTGGGAATTCTTTAAGTTCCTAGTCTAGAACTTGATAAATTAATTTTTATGTCAATCATTGCACGTATAGTCCCCACCATAATTAACTTGCTGTTTTCATACGTTTTGTTTGCCAAGGATGATTGAGTCAAGAGATTCATGTTCTTGTTTCCGCACTAATTTAATATCAATGATCATTCCAGCAATACCCTTTGGAAGTCTGATGTTTCAGAGACATCTTTATTTGAATCGCCGCCTTTCTTTTATCTACGGTACTTGCCAAGGACAAATAATTTTCCAACGTTACATTTTACAAGCACCTTCTGTTTGAGGGTTGAGATTTCTGGTGAAGCTCGGACAGGAAATCATGGAAATTTTTGAAGTAGCGAAGGATAAATTAGGGCTTGATTCCAAGAGATACACAACATTGTTATTTGCGTGTTCCGTTGCTTTGCCTGTCTCTCTCATGATCTTGATTGTGTATCAGAATCAGTTGTTTCATCTAACTGGAGGGTTACCTAAAGCTGAAAAATCTCGAAATGTTACGGCATTGAATGTTGGTAAGACACCAAGACCATTCCTTCAGCTTGAGTTCCAAGTTTCTTGTACTGATACCGTCAGCTTTTTTCTTGATCGTGGTACTTATTTCTGATTCATTTATCCTTTCCTTTTCCTTTCACCTTTTACAGATTCTAAAAATGATTCTTCACCTCCTGCCATCATTACTGATGGAAGACTGCATAATGGGAATTTGCTTCCTGGATTTGGCAATGGAACTATTTCAGAAAATAATTCCTTGCGGCATACTAGCGGGACTGATAAGCAGCTTAACGGAAACATGGCTCCAGGATTTTGGATAGAATCAGGTTCGAGGAATGATTCCTTCGGCAATGAAACTAGTTCAAAAAACAATTCCTTGCCGCATGCCAGCGGGCCTGATGAGAAGCAGCTTAATGGAACTTTGGCTCCAGGATTTCAGAAAGAATCAGGTTCAAGAAATTATTCAGAAAATGATTCCTTGCTGAATACCAGCAGGCCTAATGTCAAGCAGCTTAATGAAACTTTGGATCCAGGATTTCGGAAAGAATCAGGTTCAAGAAATGATTCCTCTCAGGGTAACAGAATGCCTGAAGATAATAAATTGCTCGATGGACTTCTGGCTCCTGGATTTGATGAAAGATCTTGCGCAAGTAGGTATCAGTCTTTCCTATTTCGCAAAACTTCACTTCATAAGCCCTCTTCCTACCTCCTTTCAAAACTACGTAGGTACGAAGATATCCATAAACGTTGTGGACCTCATTCCAAATCATACCACAAAGCCTTTAAAAGACTCAAATCTAGCCATGGTAGCAATGGAGGATGTAAATACATTGTCTGGATTCCTGTTAATGGCTTAGGAAACAGGATGCTAAGCATGGCTGCGACATTTCTTTATGCTCTCCTTACAAACCGAGTCCTACTTGTTAATCATAGAACTGATATGGCCAATCTCTTTTGCGAGCCATTTCTAAATACATCATGGCTGTTACCCGAGGACTTTCCCCTCAGGAATCATTTTGGCAGGTCTAAACATAGAGATGCCCACAGCTTTGGCAGCATGCTAAACAAAAGTATTACCAACACTTCAATGGAGCCACCAGAACCATATCTTGATCTTAATCTAGCTCTCGGTGGTTATGATCAATTAGCTTTCTGTGATGAAAACCAGGCTCTTCTCCGAAAAATTCCTTGGTTGATACTTCTATCAGATCAATATTTTGTCCCTTCTTTATTCATGATCCCATCTTTCAATCGAGAGATAAGCAAATTGTTCCCAGAAAAGGAAACTGTGTTCTACCATTTAGGCCACTATCTTTTCCACCCCTCAAATCAGGTATGGGGACTGATCACTAGGTTCTACGAGGCTTATCTAGCCAAGGCAGATGAGAGGATTGGGCTCCAAATAAGAGTATATCATGAAAAGACAACTCCTTTTCAAACTGTTATGGATCGAATTTTAGATTGTGTCCTGAAGGAAAAACTCCTGCCAGAAGTAGCAGATACACAAGAACCTGCCCCTCCTCCATCTAGAAATCAGACCTCAAAAGCTATTCTAATAGCATCCTTGTATTCCGAGTACTATGAGAATATGAAAAACATGTATTGGACAAGACCAACTGTGACAGGTGAAGTCATTAGTGTTTACCAACCAAGCCACGAGGAGTACCAACATTTTGGAGATAATACGCACAACATGAAGGCATGGGCGGATATATATCTACTTAGTTTGTGTGATGTACTGGTGACAAGCACTTGGTCTACTTTTGGCTATGTTGCTCATGGTTTAGCAGGTTTGAAGCCATGGATTTGGCGGATGGGGAGTAAAAATCCAGCTTGTCAGCGAGCCGTATCAATGGATCCATGTTGTCATTTTCCGTTGAGTTATGATTGTAAGACAAGGATTGAAGTCAATGCCGCTACTCTTGTTCCTAATACAATGCATTGCGAGGATCGAAAGAACGGATTAAAGCTGGTTTGATGAACATGGAGAATTGCTGCTGTAATTATCAGTAAAAACTTGATTAGTTTTTTCATTTCCTACCTCAACAAATATTTGCCAAAAACATGATTAGTTTTTTCATACCCTCAATTCTCTATCAATTTCTTCTTCTTTTTTTGTCAGAATTGTAAACATATTTCTTCCTCTGCCAAAATAGTACGGTCTCGCATACCAGCAAAGGAAATCCCCAGGCACAGCTAGCTAGGCAGGGGCCATATCCTTCATTTTCCAGATGATCTTCAATTTGGAGGTACGCAATATGACTTGTGGTGTGAACACAACTTGTGTGTAACAGTCTTATGATAATTTTTACACGGTCAAGGAGCTTTGCTCAATTTCCTTAATTTTCTAAATCAAAACCTTGAGACTAGCACTTCGAAGAATTTATTGAATTCATCTGAATGCGCTCTGCCGATTTGAGGAGTGTACTTTTAAGATTGCCAGGAAAAGACTTGGTTTCAGTTTACACTCAAACGGTTCACGAATACCCTTATCCTTGAATAAAAAAAAAAACAAGAAGAAGTTGAAAACAATTAAAACAACTTGAACACTTTTTTTATTTTTTCGTTGAGTTTTAACCAGTTCACGAGCTGACTTGAGTTTATCTTAGAGTTAACTTTCAAAACGATTTAAAATTAAACAAGATACAAATTCAGTCGATTTTTCTCAGCGCAACAAGTCACATCTCCAACTTAACATCGCTAAAGGTAAACTCAGGATTCAGGTTTGAAATTTGAGTAGAAGAAGCAATACATTCCAAGTGCTTGATAGTTTCTTTAAATTTTTTCCCTTCAAGTCTTAGATAAAGACCCTGAGGCTGGCGGGCAGGGATTTAAGAATTGGAAGAGACAACATCCTATTCCCATTTTATAATTCAAGAACATAAAAGATCTAAAGCCTCCAATCTATGGTGTAGTAATCTTCAGTTACAGCACAAAATTCAATTGCATTATTATGACTTATCTTCATTTATGCAGAGCATAATGCACTTCAAATTAATTTTTGAGGCAAATAAAATGCAGTAAGTTCTAATTAAAATCTCCATCCTTTTAATTAATCTAGACCTATATACGTAAGAGGGAACTGAATATATAAATTCCTTTTTCTTGTTCAGGGAACTGAATATATAAATTCCTTTTTCTGGAAAAATATTGTCTCCATCTTAATCTTTAAGTTTCATGCGGGGGCAGGTATTTATTCCTATTTAAAGAAGGGATTTCTTGAAATAAATACACTGATACGTTGGCAAGCCAAAGAAAGAGTCTCAAGGGAAGAAATTTCAAGTAGGAAGTTGTTTTTAGTTCTTTATATAGCTAAATTTGCCAGATTCTAATTTATGGAGAACCCATATCCTACCCTAGTTTTAATCTTATAACTTTTGAAAGCAAACTGTTCTGCAGGATTATTCAAAAAGAAAAGAAAAAGTAAAGACTGAGAGGTTTCTTTCAGTTTATGCAGAAAGATTGAGTGCAAAATTATTACACAAATCCAAGTTTCAAACAGTTGTTACAAAATAGACTTTGATTCCTGGTATGCGTTCTTTAATTTTAAACAGCATAATGGGAATTTTCCCATGAAATTCTACCATGAGGGTAGGTTTCACGGTCCTGACGAAAAGCATGCTGCTTCTGGCTATGGAAACCTGTTAAAGAGTGGCATCATAAACGAGTCGATGGGATCGCCGACGTCCTATGTATTCCTCAATTTAGGTCATAGTAAGTATGATCTGGAGAAATTATGTTTCTATTGCAATCAAAGCCTACCTCTTCTTCAAAAGACACCTTGGTTGTTTCTGATATCAGATCAATATTTTGCCCCCTCTTTCTTCCTGACGCCGGCCTTCAAGCAAGAAGTACAGCGACTGTTCCCTGGAAAAGATACTGTTTTCCATCACCTGGCTCGCTATCTTATCCATCCTACAAACCAGGTTTGGGGGCTAATCTAGGGATTGAATTGATTTAGGTCAAAGAAAAAATTTAAGAAAAAAACTTGACCAACCTAATAAAAAACTCAAGATGGTTTAGTGTGTGTTTGTGTTAGAAGTGAAAGTCGTGGTTTGGATGTGGTATCCACTAAAAAAATTAAGAAAAACAGAAGATATTAGTTTTTATAGTTGAATTTTATATATAAATAAATTATATTCAACCACAAAAATTAAAACAAATACTCTTTTAGTTACTGTAATAAACCTATAAATTGTATTCAACCACAAAAATTAAAATAAATACTCTTTTAGTTACTGTAATAAACCTGTTAACAATCTTTTAAAATATTTTAATTAAAATAATATTATTTTAATTTTCTTTAAATAATATGCTCGAGATGAACTTGCAACCAAAATATTGTAAAAATGCTTGCTCACTAGAAACACCCACAAGTCTCAAAGAAAAAAAGAAGACTTCTATACCTACAAGTCATGCATAAACTAAATAAATAATTAATTTAAGAACAGAAGCTTGGGGAAGAACCCTTTTCACATTGTACATCATGGCTTTAATTAAAAGAGAGCGAACCCTAGAAGAAAGTATAGCAGAACCAGTGCCCAGTATCCTCCTTGAGGTGTTGGCTTAGGTAAGTAGGTTAGCTTATTGATCCCGAGGATCTCCGAGAAAGAAATCTCGCATGAATACCCTCAAACCTACTTTGCTTCATGGCGAGGCATTGGCTTCGATGCTATTTATAATTACCTGGGCTCGATGAAATACTCTACTTACTTACATGGCAATGAAGCCCTTTGTATACGTTCTTTACAATAAAGATTGCTCGCATGAAGGCATAGTTGAGGGTTCAACACCAAGTAATTGTACACGAAGAACAAAAATGCTGATTCTACGTATCAAAGCCAAGGGTGCATGCATTAATTACTCTGGTATTGATGATTTAAATTCTTGGCTTTGGGTCTGCTTAAGGTTTTTTCTTTTCTGCAATTCCTCTTTTTCCATGATACATAAAGAGATTGTTTTCTTTCTCTTCTTTTGAGAATTATATGGCATCCGGGGTTTCTCTACTTTTTTAGATCTTCTTGTATTCCTTTTAATCTCAATTAAAGGAAGTCCTATACTCATAAGGCCCACAGTTTTTGTAACTGATTGAGATGGCCAAGATTTTCATTAATTTTTTCTTTATTTTGGCACTATATTTTCTTCTCGTTTGCATCCAGTTATTCATTATACGAAAGCCCTTAGGTCACTAATTCAAGTTAAAATTGATCCCCTCCTTTTTAAGCAAATGTAGGTGAACAGGTCAATCGTTTAGGCTAAAAACGCAGGCCTCAACCCGCAGCCGTCTATGCACATCTTGTTGATATAGCCCACAAGTTCTATCCAGCAAGCATGTAATGAGAAAGAAAAGGCACAAGTTATTGAAGCAGAAACTAGTAGATGCATTTACCAATGATAAACCAGAAACAAGAATGAAAATGCATCCACACACCAACTACACCAGCCTCATTGCCTGCATTTTCTCCTTTTCCAAAGTCCTATCCCTAGTCGTAAGGAGAAGGAGAAGTTACAAACTGCCTCGGCAAACTAAACATGTCCTTTCCTGCGAAAGGAGAGGTCCACTCGCTCGTGCCAACTGAGGATGATGTTTCTTTAGCCATTCCACTGTCCCGTAACCCAGACAGGAAGGAACTATTTGTACCGCTAGTTCTTGTGATAGATGTGTTCCTAAGCAATGAGGTGAGACCCAACCACAACCCATTTGACTTGGAGGATAACAGGTTTGAATCCAAAGTCCAATCGATACTGGTGTAATCAAATTCAGGCATCAAGCTTCCTGTATCCCAATCAACATGTGGAGATCCTAAAGTTCCTGCTGCGCCCCAACCAGTGAATAAACCAAGTGAGGATGGTGCTGCTAGTGAAGGCAAAGACGCAGTTGTTTTACCATATGAACCTTGCAACGGAGATGGAACTGCAAATGAAGGAGATCTTGTACCTCCCTGTCTATTTGATGTAGCTGGGCCACTAAACAGGAATGAATTTTCTTTACGTGACACTGGATTGTAAACTTGTTCTGAGCTCTGATTTACAAGACCAAAGTTTCCAGTGCTCTGATTTGGAAGCAACTTAACATGTGGCTGCATATTTTCCACACCTGAAACGTTATTTGAATACCATCCAGATGTTACAGGTGTGGTGCTTGCACTAGGGACTGTATTTTGTTTGGCATTTATAGATTGAGGGCGCTGCATCATCATTACTGGTTCCCTCACTATCTGCTGCAAATTTTTCCCCTCATTTCCAGCAGAACCAAGCCGGACATCAAATTTTGTTGATGGAGGTGCTACTTGCATGGATGGTACCATAGATGATGGAAAGGCAGGGCTTGATCCTGTTGTGCCCCACCTCTTGTCTGCTAGTAACTTGGGCTGATTCAGAGGTTGTAAGTTTCTACTCCCAGGTTCTGAATATGTTGGCACTGGAATTGCTGTTTTGTAGTTGAAATCCAGTTCGTTCATTCTCTGTTGTGCTGTAACTGAAGCTGCAGGTACAGGTACAGGTACAGGTACAGGCTTTTCATGCAGTCTCCTCAGGTTACTGTTGTCAGCAGTGCATTCTGGTCTTGGTGGAGTCGTAGATAGTTCCTGCTTTTGTGCATGCAAGGTCTCTTCTGCCTTCACTAGATCCCCTTCACTAGCAACCACAGCTCTTTCAACCTCCTGCTTTGAGCATTTATATCTCATCTCCAATGCTGAGATTTGAGCAAGCTCCTCACTTATATCAATATTTAGGTCACCACCACTTCCAAGCTTAGAGTCCTTGCTTTGAGCTTCCTCTTCACTTCCCTCAAAAAGCCAGTTTACTGATTCTTCCACCCTGCCCTCATTCAACATAAGGGCCAGGGTTGCCCGCTCATGAGAAAAACCCATTGCCACAAGCTGTTCTGAAAGTCTTTCTAATTTTCTTGACCTTAGATACCCAATGCAACGCTCATGCAACTCTTGAGCCCTCTTCTCTCTCTGACGCTGGTGCTTTTTCTCATTCTTCAGGCGGATCTTCTCGCGTTTGTCACTGTCTAAACCAGGTACTGTTTCTTGCCGAGTAGAATTGGCTTTCTCTTTTATGTCTTCTGACTCACCAGAGCAGCTCCCATTGTTGGAAACTGAATCATACTCAGAAAGTGTTCCATGGGGGCTGCTAGAATGCTCGTCTGGGTCATCTACATTTCTGAATCGACCATTGTCATGGAGGGGTGGGAAAGCAGCGGCTGATGGTATTTCTAGTGCATGAAAAGTCCCAGAGATTGGATTATAAGCATTCACTGGACTCCCACTTACAGTGTTGGTTGATCCAGAAGGCTTAATAGACGCCTTCTGTTGTTCTTGAGCAGACTTTACAAAGGTCTTATCCTTGGACTTGGTCTTGGATTTTGATGCAGGAGACATCTCTCTGGATTACAATAAAATACTGTTCCAGCAAAAAATAAAAACCATTTCTTACTTCTAAATAAAGTATAGCATAAATGCGCATATTCAATGCATCATTGTCCAAATTAACACCATATTCATGATCAGCTGCAAAGAATGTGAGAGAGAATTGATTCACAATCATTATAGACACGAATGCCATATGCAATTTCCTCAAAAAACATTCATTTAATCTTATAGAAAAACTCAATAACCTATATTCATAAAACTTTTAAAATCCCATTCTGCATGGACATTATGTGTAACAATCTCAAGACAAAATCACCTAAAAAGCATGCAGCATGCTCTGTATTACATAAGAATGAACTGTATCTCATTAACAACGTACCCACCATTGGAAAAACATATACAGACAAAAAGAGACAGTGGAATCGTAAACTGAAAGTCCAGGTGGTATAATGCATTCTTCACACATTTGAAACTTACAAGGCTAAGTCACACAAATTTGAAACTGAGGAAAGAAAAAAATCGAAAGAGAATAACACAAAGTCCTGCAATTCATTGATTCCCTATCAAGAATAGGATCAACCAAACCCCAAAACAAAACAAGATATTTCACATGCTGATTTAATGAGCAAACATAAAAGATTTTTTTTTTTTCCCAAAAGAGCAGGATTGAAGGCATTTTCATTATGATCCTACACGCAGAATGCAAATCAAATGCCATAATACAGTTCTCCAAATTGCATAAACGATTAATAAAAGAACAAATTTATTGTAAGCGAAAACATTATGCAAATAATAACAAAAATTGGAAACAGAATTAATTCAAACACAAATCCATACACCATCCCACATGCTTAATGCAAAAAAAGAAAAAAAAAGAAGAGATCTTCTGTTTTCTCCTTGAATGGACAAGAAATGAAATTTCTAAATACCCACAAGCCATAAGAAATGAAACCCCACCTCGAATTCCTGACCTCTCCATAATAAAAGAAGAAGAAGAAGAAGAAGAAGAAGAAGAATTTTACAGGCAAGAAATGAGCATAGAATAAAAAACCCAGATAAGATACAATTAGATCTCTCAAAATCGAACCAAACTAAAAAAAAAAAAGAGAGATCAAAACAGACCAACCGCATAAAACAAAAACCAGGCTTTCACAAAGTACATTGATTTCTCAATGCATTCAAGATCTGTCGGTACCAAAATTCAAGAAACAGAACACGAGAAAAAGAGAAAAAAAAAAGAAGAACGGACGGATCTGGTAACGAACCTTAAAGAAGAAAAGCTGAGGGACTGTTGATTTTGATGTTGATTTGAGAATTATAAGAGTTCCTTCGATGTTGTTTGCTCTGTTTGTCCGTGTGTTGTGTTGTATTAATGACCTTTCTCCTCTTCTGGTTTTATTTTAAGGATTCTTTCTCCCTGTTTTTTTAATGTTCTACCTCGGACGCCAGGTGTAATTAGACTGTATTTAATTCAACCACTTCAGTCCCGGTACTTACGTTATGTTTTTTTTTTAAATATCTCTTACCGGTGCTAATTTAAGTAAATATGATTCTTCTGAAAACAGTTTTAAAAGAAATTCAATTATTTGATTTATGAGATTTGAAAAGGATGGTTCAAAAAAAGTATTTTCTTGATAGAATTAAACCAGTTAATATTAAAAAGAAAAATTTGCAAATAATTATATAATTTTAATTATTGTTGTTGCAATAAATATAGTTTTTTACACTCAATTCAGTCTTATAAATTGATTTGAAAAATTTATTATTCAATTTTGGTTTTAAATTAAATTGAAAATGATATTGATGCATTGAATCTCTATTGATTTGGTCTAATTAATTTGTTTATTAATAATATATAAATTGATTAAGTTAATTTTAATAACTTTTCTTTTTAAAAATCCATAATATCTTGATAAAATAATTTATCATATGATCCATATGGATAATTGAATAAATAGAGTTTTTTAAAGTTGGTTTTCTACTTAGATTTGACAATTATAATAATAAGTATTTATACATGAATTATATATATAATAGTAATAATAATAATAATAATAATAGTATTTATACATGGATGCATCAACAAATATTTTCCAATATTTGTACGTGGATGCATCAACAAATATTTTCCAATATTAAGATCTAGATTATTTTTTATTCCATTTATTTTTTTATGTATTTTATTAAGCTGTCAGAATCCCTGTAAGTCGTGCTGCCATTGAATATTTTTATTTTATTTTTAACAGAAAAGAGGAAGGGGGTATTATTTTACCAATATTTTATGCAATTTCTTTTTATTTTATTTTTATTTTTGAGCTTTAAAATTGGACTGCCACATGTATTGTTGTGATTTGATCATCTTGATGGAAGGATGCGACAAGAAGCGAAGTCGGTAAATCGATTTTTAAACTAACAGCCAATAATACTAAAATATTTAATTAAATAATTGAAAAGAAAAAAATAAGTACATATTTCCACATAAGTGGCTTGATTAGTCATCGTTTGCGGATTTCCCAATACAAAAACTAATTTGAAAAGTATAATTACTAAATTAATCATTTTTATTAGAAGAATATTATTTTATTCTTAAGAAATAATTATTTAGATTAATTGAACAGGTTAAAAACCTGGTTAAATTAATCAAATTTTATCAAGTTAATATCTAATTTGATTCAACTCAAGCAACTCTAATGGCTACATTATTATTTAGTCGGTACAAGTTAATATCTAATTATTTCGCACCCCTCCCTGTCTCCTATGGCTTGGACATAGTCACCTGGGAAGCTCTCAGCACAGCAAGTTGCAGCTTCACGCATGGATTACCTTTATGCATGAATCTTCTGATCTTTTCCTTTCTTTAACATGATATAGAACTTTTCAACAAGATCCTAGAAACCTGGAAGCAGAGAAAGCACATAGCACTTTAACTTGAGGACAGCCCTTAATTCTATGAAGACCATGCCTCGCCATCCTAAAAGTAAAATTGAGAGAAGAAGGATAGGTTTAAAAGAAATGGAGTGCTGACACCATGAGAAGGGTGCAGAAGGTAGCTATCTGCTGCTCTTAGAAAGGCATAAAAAGGAGATTTATGGATTCAACAGATCCTGGAGCACAGGGAAAAACCAATCTGATTGTAAGTGACATAGATTTCGAGCGTTCAATGCGTTGCACCAAAGGCGACACTAAAACAAAACTGATGAAGGGGTTGAGTTTTACCTTCATTTTCCAGTCTCAGTATCTTTTCCTTGCTGGATGCATCAACAGTTTACAATCGTCAGAACCTTGTAGACGCTTCGGAGATAGTCAAGTATAGATGTTGAGGAATACAATCTGTAGGCTCTACTGAAGCAATTAACTTGTGGTGCAACTTCTTTTTCTGCATGGCATTTGCTTGCATCAGACAGCAATAGAACAAAAGATAGCAGCAGTGTCAATCATATGCAATATTTTCTCAGGGCATGTAAGACCTTACCTTCCATTGCAAACTGGAATATGTACACAACTGGATAGGAGAACTATAACACACAAGGAAACCTAACTGCTAGATAGAGATGCGTAAATGACAGCATAAAACGAAAACTCAATTGAAGAAAAATAATATGAAACCAGGATAGAAAATAAGCCTTGAGATTCCTGAAGGACCCATATCCAAATGAACGAACCATGAATGATGATTGATAGATACAACACAAAAGATGGAAAATTGCCACTTATTCTATAGCCTACAACTACTGAATATTGATTACATTTTTGGAAGGAAAACCTTCAGCAAAACACAAGGAGATTTCGCAACATTAAAGATCACATCCTAAGCTTTAACATGAGGGGTTGTTGACCCAAAAGAGACTCTAGATGTAAGAGAGAAAATAGATTAGCAACCAACAGTTTATACAATGAAACAACCAGGAAAAGACAATGACAATGACAATTTTTAGAGACAGACTGCGCTATTACTCACCGTTCAATAGCTTCTTTTCCCTCCAAAGCAGCAAGGCTTGCAAGTTGATGTATTGCATTGAAATTTCTCTGGGTCATCGCTCCCTTATCAAAAATGGCATCTGATAAAACAACGGATGATGCTCCAGAAGATATATACTCCCCTATAGAATCTGCATCAAATTTGAAACAAATGTTATCCAATCACGAACTGCAGCAAGAAGCTTGCAATGAAAATGGTACAACTGGACCTATACCAAGATTTTATGACAGTTAATACTAAAGAGGCATTATCAATGTGTAATGGTAAAATTTTTCTGTTCAAAGAACACTTCAGTTAGGAAAATTATGATAAATGATAGTCCTTAGGTACTATTCTTTCTTAGAAGCATAAAGCATATGGTTCATGGAATCAAATCTCAATCTAACTGATATCCACATCTAGGAGGTGTTAACCATTTTCCAACTTTATCATACAGTTTTCATTCAAAATAAAAGGTCATGATCCCTGTTATAGAAAGGAAAAAAAAAGGAACTATCAAGCTTAATGACAGAGCATGAAAATTGAATAATTGATCTTTAAGAGCAGGGGCGGTGTTCATATATCACTAACCTATCTTGATGCCCTGAGAAGCAACCATTGGTATGTGAGGGAAAGGCTTCTTGAGTGCTGATATATATTGGACACCACCTAATGCAGAAACAGGATAAACCTAATCCACCAAATAAGATAGAAATATAATCCATAAGGTGATCCTTGGCCTGTACATACTAAGAACGTTCATTCAATGAAGAATACTTAAAGTGAGCATACAAGGGCCTTGCGAAATGGAGCGTATATAGTACCACATGAACTCTTATATTGAAATATAGACTTGTGTGCAGGTTGTGCACATGACATCTCTATCTCATAACCAACTCCTTTACCAACAATGTTAAATATGAGAACGTGAAAGCACTCACCTTCACCATTTTAGCACCAGCATCATATGCAGACAGTATCTGCAAAAAAAAAAAAGTTCTCGTAATAGTCTCCTTGGGGAAATATGATTCAAATGGTCTCTCTCTTACATAAATACTTGAGAACACAAATTTCTAATAATTAAACCCTCCATATCAAAACAATAGCAGTGGCCACTAATATGAGCAGTAAACTTCATTTACTTGTACATCTACAAGGATTCTTAGAGCTTAAGAAATGAAGGACAGTTTAAGTTCACAGGTCACTTACTTCTGTGGGTGTCATTACACCAGGTATGTATAGAATTTCATCCTTCACAACATCGTCCATAATGTCCTGATGTTAAGTAAGCATGTAAGAATAAACAAAGAAAAAGCATGGCAGATGTAAAGCCAATGCATCTGAGAAATAAACAAAAAAAAAAAAAGTATGTTTAAAATTTGTTGAAGAAAAAGAACAAAAGGAAATTAAAATAGGAATGGAAAGTACAAAACTCTTTAAGTTATTATTTCTATACTAATTGAAAGAAAACCTGTGCAGATCTCAGAATACTAAAAGTACCTTCACTGTAGCAGGACTCATGAAGAATTTGGCTCCAGCATTCATTGCGTTTCTGGCATCCTCAGCATTTAAAGCAGTACCAACCTGTAAGATATTGTCCACACCACAAATCTCTTGAGAAGAAAGTACGATCAGTCAAAAAATATCATTGAAATCTATCTATGGCAGCTCTTGCAATTGACCATATAGCATTCTGACACTTGCCAAAAGAACTTTCTAGTAAACACTCATCAAGTGGACAGGATGAGGAAAAAAAAAGTTCCTGATCCAGATTGCAGACTTGCAGCAACTTCTGATCTGTTTAATTGAATTTGCTTCAAATATGCCAAAAATGACTTGCAACAAGCTGAAAGCATATTGGCCCATCTTTCGCAAAATCTAATATAAAATAAAGCTTCTCCATGTTTTAGCCAATCATGATGCATTTACAGAATATACATAATCATAAAGTCGACAGGATGAGGAGAAAAGGTCTCCAATGCTCTGTATCTCTCTTATATAACATATGAAATCACAAACATGCATGCTCCGCACTCCAAGACTTGCCTGAGTTCTTGCAAGATGTGGCCAATACCATACCACGCTAGAAAGAAAACAAGTAGTCATGAAATCTCAGAGGAAGTAGTAATACAATTACCCCCAAAGCCAATGTAGGATAGTCCTTCACCAACTGCCTTAAAACCTGAACACAAGACAATAAAAGCACAAACAGTCTCAAACCCAGGAGGCCAAAATGCAGTAAACGAAATTCTAAATAGAAAATCGCAAATCAAACAACCTGAAACACACCTGGTGTGGACATCACAATCTCCAGCTACACAAAGCAACAAAAAGAATACATTTTAAAACCAAAGTATTGTACATAAGAGCATAGTTGTTAAAACTGGCCCATCTCATAGGGTGACCCGAAAAATCCAGCACCCGGAGCTTGATCCAGGTCAGGTTTCTTGTTGAAACAGACAAGATATTGACCCGACCAAACCCGTTCGACCCCTGGGTCAACACTAAGGGGAAAAAAAACAAAACTAAAATCTACTATTTTAACAAAAAAAAGGTTAACTCGGTGACCAAGACCCAAGCTCGGGTCAAACAACTATATATAAGGGTATAAGTTCAAGCCCATATATGGTCAATTTAACAATCCCTGCAAGCATTATAGATTTATAGTACTCATAAAGATTCCTTCTTGCAGCCTAAAAGGGGAAGAGTTTAAAAATCTCAGTCTTGCTCTAACAAAAACCACCAGCAACCCATTTATCAAATAGTCTTCCAATTTTAGTGAAAAACAAGAAACGCATTTACCAAATGTAGGAATGAATGAAAGAGAGCAATAAGTAGACTTACAACAGAGATGCCACCATTCAGTGCAGCAGTTGCAGCTTCGTATGCAAGCTCTGCACTAAAAAACGAACAAGAATTGTTCCCTTCTAGTCACAAAAGTTTTTTCTTTTTTTCATTTGAGATGGAGAGAGAATTAGTAGAGGTTACCTATTGGCGCGAAGGCAAGCAATAACACCAGAATTTTGAATCAGAGACGAGGTCTTTTGGATTATGGGAGATAGCGAGAGTGACGAAGACGAAGAAGAGCTATAAACCCTGAAGCTTTTGACTTTTGGTGATAATAGTGGCAAACTCTGTGGAGTTAATCTCCAGCTTGCGGCCACCATATCCATAACTCCTCTCTGTACTTGTGTTTCTCACCTTGATATTTATTATTTAGAGACCGTTCGGCGTCGCAAAGCTTTTTACAGATTGTGTTTTTTCTAAATGTATTGAAATTATATTTTATATATATATATATTTTATATTAGTGGATCAAAATATTATTAAAACATAATAAAAATATATTTTTTAATTTTTTTCAAAAATATTTTTAAAATAAAAAGATAAACAAACATCTTTTAAACAAGGTCTCTCAGAATAAAGTACTATTTATTTCTATTAATGAAAAATAATTAGTTAATCCTTTCGGTTTAAGAAAACCACATGAAATTCAATGTTATTAAGTTCAATTTGGTCCATGAAGATTAAACATGTTATTACTTTTAATAAAAAAATAATATCATTTTAATTTTTTTTTTTTAAAAAGTTTAATCTAACTAGATTTAACTTATCCCTGACCAAATTAATATCTTTTCTTAGTTATACAGAAACTCGATACAAGTCAAATTTTGAATCCAAGTTTCCTGCTTAGCCAAACCAGAGTTAATAACTTTGTCTGGAAATGACATGGTACCAGTAACACGATAACACGCTAACAATTCACCAGAAAAACAAAGCAGAAAATAGCAGGGGATGAAAAACGAAGATGCTTGACCTATCTCTGATTACATGTGATTTTATATGGTCTTGTAGACATTACCGTCCAGGTAATGTGGTTGTGTCTATTCAGTTTAGTCAACAACCCTATGCTTTGCTGCTTAGCAGGAGGATTGTGTGGAATGGAGATGAACACCTCATCATGTGGCACTGAAGCAATTTTCCCAAGTTCCATATTTTGAGAAAACGCAACCTCCCCCATTCTTCACTGCATGCTCGGAAATAGCTGTCCGAGCACATTTATCCCAAGTCCGAGCTATCTCCCCTATTGACATGGGCTGCAATAGATTTCTGAGATGTAAGTTGAGCTTTACCCTTGCCTTCACTGAAAGATCATCATGCTTTTCACTGTTGATCATTAAGAACTTTCAGAATTATGTGTAGCATTCCAGGCGTTGGAGAATAATTAACAGAAGAAAATGATGAATCATGCTACGAAAGTAAGATGCTTTAAAACAAATACACAGCCCATTTTTCTTACCTGACTTCCTCTGGTAACTTTTCGAGAACTATAGGTGAGCAATAAGGGTATTTTGTGGGGACAAGCAATTTTAAGGGCTGAATTTTTGACTGCATGGCCAAAGAACACAAGGTCAATAGGGAAAATGAAGGCGGTGCATGGTGCTCATGTGAAGAAGCAATAGTCAAAGACCTACAATTTCTTCGAAATCCTCCTCCGAGTTGAAGTTTGGACTATTGGACACAGCAATGAATGAGCACTTGATAATGATTCCACCACCATCTGGTCCAACTGTAGTTGAGTCGGTTTCTTCATCACTGATATCTACCACTGTGTCTATCAGTTGCTGATTTATCTCGTCTATTTCCTTCAACACAGCACGACTGACCTGCAATAAATGGCAGAAAGACTTCAGGAATTGAGTAGAAGAGAGAAAGGAACAGGAAGGGTAGGGTTGATGTGCTTTTTTAAGGGCAAAACAAGACAAAAGGGCAGTCCGAGTGCAAATGGCGGCCTTTAACTGATTCAATATTAAGACTTGAAGCTACAGTATGTATATGCATTAGAAAGAGTGCCAAGAGATACAAGGTAAATTTTCATGAATTTGTTATCGTACTAATCACAAGTTGCAGTGCATTGAGTTGTTCCAACGAATTGTATCAGATTCTGTCGTAATCTGATGACAAGCTGCACCTACGACATGAACTCAGTCAACGCTGTTTTACGGCACCTAGCAGAAGTGAAGGAGAGAAACCAACCTACCTAGCCATATTTGGCCTGTGATATTGTGGCGCGGTGCCCTTTGAGATGCTTTTAGCCAACCCAACTTTAAAAGTTGGTTTGATTTTTATTACTTAAACCTGCTTTTCATCTCAAATTAACATAAAAACTTGGGTTTAAAAAAAACTACAACTTGTAGCTTTTTTTAATCTGTATTTTCAAACCACAAACATAAAAGTCTTTTCAAACTACAAACATAAAAGCTATCACAATACTAAACATATACTAAGACTAAGACGCTGAATCGAGTGATTTGTTTTCCTTCTTTAATATTAAGTTGTAACATCTTAGTATTTCAACACTGAAAGTGCAGCTGACATACCTGAATCCTAGGTTTTTTGTTGGGGCAAAATGTAGTTGACTCTGAGCCAGATTTCTTCGGGCAAGCTGGTGTCTTATCATTCAAGGGAACTGCTTTTGTTGAACAATCCACTTTCCTCACTCCAAATGTGCTACAACCCATGGAAAAGTATCTTGCAACTGGATTAGTCTTACTCGTGACCCCTAAATCTTCACTAACTGAGCCTTTGGATCCATAAACTGGTACTGATCCTGCCATGCTATCAGCCAGATTGAGTACTGATCCAATCTCACTTACAGAAGCACTTAAGGCTTTCGATGAAATTGAGTTCACCTGAAATTTAAAACAACATTTGAACTCTCATTAGTCATGTCCAAGTCTTCAGCATCAGGTTGATGAACTAAGAGAGGAATCAAGTTGTTTCAGACAAACCGCTTTAATTAAGCGTAGAATGGGCTTCTCAGCATCACATGATTCTTCAAAATTGATGGTTGAAGCATCAAAACCAAAGCCATCTGCATTTCACATTTTCTGTTGATGTGAGGTTGGTACATCAGCAGTGCCAGTGGCAAACCGTGTGATCGATTCTACTACATCAGTTACAGGTTCGTGTTCAGTCTTACCTGTATTCAAGTTTGAGGAGTCATTGGAGGGGAATTTCGCAGAAAACCCAGACTGTGAATTTACAGAATGAGAAGGGGATCCAGCTATTGTATGCGACCGCAGCATATTATGCTGGGTGGTCAGAGGAAAATGTCGAGGTAACTGGACAGGTTCGGCCTGAATGTGCCTGTGGGAAAAAATTGAAGGTGGAACTCCAGATTTAACAGCTGTCACTTGTCTAAATTTCAAGTTCTTGACTTCAGGTCTCTGATTTAGTTCTGTTTCATGCTTTATTCCTTGTGTCATTTTCACATCATTTACTTCATTCAACTGATGTGGCATTTCATCATCCTGCTGCATCTGATGTGGAACTTCTTGATTTCCCTTGATGAGTTGCTGACACATTTGGCTCTGTTGAGATTCTTGATTCTTCTTTTGTGCGGATACATGGTGCAGGGACTTTTGTTTTGCATCCATACGTTGAGCTATAAAAGAACTTCTTCCGGAATTCGCTTTTGCTCGTTCATTCCTGTTGTTTTTTAATAGAAATTTGATATCATTTGGCTGTGGAAGAGTGCTTAATGGCAGCTGTAGAGACCTCATGGAAACTTGATGCACTGGATTCACTACATTTTCGCGCTCTGAATTTGATTCACACAAATGCTGCTCTGATTTTATGTCATCTTGCTGTGAGATCACAAGATTAGATGGATACTGCATAGAATTATCGCCAAAAATTCTCATGTTGCTGTCCTGCAGATTTATTGCAGAACTCTGTGGGTTCATTGATTGCAATGGTGGTTTCTTTTGATCCTCTGGTGGCATTGCTTGATGAATTTGAGGATGCGGCTGCAGAGACTTCGGTAATGGGTGCAAATTAGGAGTAAGTTGTCCGTGGACAAGTGAAGAGGTTGGTTTTCTCGGCATTGCAAACTGAAAGACACAATTTATCTGCCTCTTAATTAGATCCAACTTCTCGGTAGATTTATTGCAATCAGGATAATCTAGATACTGCATAGCTTGATCCAATTTCAACCTTGATTCTTGATGAACAAAATCATTCTATAGATAAGCAAGAAAAAATTATTATTTTACAAGGTAAAAAATCTGTTCATGCAACGTGTTCCTACAAGAAATATGTCAAGTGCAAAAGTACCTGTTGGAGTAAATTGATGGCCCTTTGGCACATCTCTTTCAGTTCCACTACGCACGTACTCCTTGAAGACTCAGCCTGAAAGGTGATAAATCTCCAAAATAAACATTGGTTACTCTTTCTTCCGGCTTCTGCCGGCCAAAAACTCCTTTTGAGCATCAAAGCTCACCAAATACCACATTCCATTGTAAGTACTCACTGCATTTCTATTTTAACAAGTTCTATATGCTGGAAGATATACCTGCTGATACGCCTCCTCTTGCTTCGTCACAGAATGGGATTTTATGATTCCTACAAAACAATTACATCTATCATCAGTTCAACTTAGAATCTCTCATAAAATAGAGAAGGCAGGCAGAACAGGAGCTGTGCTGAAGGAACAGTTCCAAAGAAGTACCTGTTCGGGTTAAGAACCAGTAAAAAGCTACTGAAGGAGCAGGCACCATTATATTAATCAACTAAAACACAAATACATGATTGCATGATCTGTGGATCAAAGTCAAACAGCTTCCCTTGTAGCCTATATAACATTTGTTGGCTTCCTAACTCCCCTTGTCATATTTGTTTCTGAGGATATGTTTTGCATAAAGAAAGGTACCTGATGCTTGAGATCTGTGCTGTTCATCTTGCCGTGACAAATTTAGAATCTGTTGCAATTTTGGTGGCTGTGATGGAGACAACAGTTTCTGCTCTGGAGTCGGTGAACATGACTGCAAGCTTTGACAATCATTGTACGGGCATGGTAACTTCAGTTGATGATGCTGCGGATCAGGGACTCTGCTTTCTTGCGCAATTAATAGCTTTTGGCTCACATCAGTGGCAACTTCCTTTTGTCCCTTCGGCTGCTCTTGCTGCTGTGACAACAATAGTGGCAGTTCAACCATGGATGGTGGATTGTGAAGTGTAAAAGTAGCTTGTTGTGTCTGTTGCAGGTGCGCAGGGGTTGTTTGCGGGTCCCTCTTGACCATGGAAAGTGTTGAGGATTGAAGCTCTAGGCAGGAGCCTTGCTGAAATTTCAGAAATTCTTCCGGGTTATGCTGAGCAATAACCTGTGGTGAATGCAGTATTCCCTGTTCTTGCTCGCAATTTCCAGAATTACCAGAATGTTCCATTTCACCTTTTAAATTTTCTGAAGACTTCTGCAAATCGCCACGTGAATCTTTCAAGTTGGTATTCAGGCTAACATTTGACTTTGGGACCTGAGTTAAACCTCTGTCAGGAGGCCTTGTAGACGGTAAGTTGGCCAAGTTAAGCATTACAGGAGCAGAAGCTACCTTGTTCTCAAAGTTTGTTTGCAAATGCTGTTGGGCTGCTTGATGCTGGTTCGCCAATCCAGAATGATGGATAGTAAATGACTGATCTTGTTTGTGAACTTGGGATTGATTATTCTGAGGTTCTATAAATAAATAACATTAATAAAAGTGTTAAACACCTACGATGAAGCGTCTTATTAGTTTTTCGACCGTGAGGAGCTTCTGCTTGAAGAATATTATGTTGAAAGTTTTCATGGTGGAGGGTTTCGACTAAGGAGGTTCAACTCATGGAAACGGGCAGGAGATTTTTGTGAACAAATCATGGAAACGGGCAGGAGATTTTTGTGAAAATAAATATTTTCCTTTTTTTATTTTAATAGAATTTTCTAGTTTTTTTATAAATAAAAAAGTTATAATAGCAGTTTAATAAGTGAGACTATAATAAATAAAAACTAAATGTTTTAAATGTTTTTGCATATATTATAATGTATTACAAACCTCTTCATTATAAGCAACCGAAAAAACCTAAGAAGTGTGCAAAGAGATTACACAGTACGGAGAAGAATATGGAGTCGCCAATCTAAAGTACTAGGTCCTCCAAAAATGTGGTTTTCAGACGGGATAGCTTCAGAAAAATATTTTGAAGAAGAAAAAAGTAATTCTACATTCTAAAGTACTAGGTACTCCTTGATTGAAGCAGTTTACAAACTCAACATGTTTGAAAATGAGCACACAATACATAGCTTGGCTATGAATTATCATTTTGCTATGTCCATGCACACCAGCAGAAAACCAGCCAAGCTCCACAATTATAGCAAAGAAGGAAGGCAAAATTGTTTCCTTTGTTCTTGATATATGTACATATATATCATGAAAGAAGCAGGCATGGATAGAAGCTACGCATAAAAACGAAAACAGCATGAAGTAATTAGTGGTGTGGCAATCATGTCACTCTACCTGGATCTGAAGGCATTTCAGTAGAGAATGAAGAGCTCGAAGAAGAACTAGAAATTGTAGCGTTAGAACTTTTCTCTATCCTGCTTAGATATGAACTCTGAAATAAACAGTAAGCATAGTTCATAAATTTTCAGATTAACCTTGTCTTGTACTGCGGCAAAGGTTGGTCTATGTTCATATTAAATGGCAAAGGTTGGACCATGCTCAGAAAAACCTAAAGTCAATCCTTGGGCACAGGAAATGCTAGCTAAAAGTAATGAAAAACTGTTCAACATCTACCTTTTATGCCTGGTAAGTCCAACTTTCGCCTCATTTGATTATACAAATTCTTGTACTTGGTATATATACCAACACTTTTATACTCAGTTCATGTTCCTTTTCAATTTCCATATAGAAAAAACACAGATCTGTAGCCGAATTGGAAACCTAGATAGCTTCTTGGGTTCTATGATCTTGGTACGTAGTCGGCGGACAGCATGTTGGCAGAATGGAAAATAACTAGAAAAAACTGCTGAGAACTTTTGGGAATAAATGAAAGAAGACTGTCAAGAAACAACATGTTGGCCTCTAGTTTCACATAAGATGCCACAATCCCTATAGATATAAATCATGACGAAGGTTGTAAAAGGCATCACCATAATCAAAGAAGGCATGCATCAACGTCAAAACTTGTTTGTTTCAAAGAAATGGAATAGATTAGAAGTGCATAGCAGATCAAGATAGCTTGTCTTTGGCAAGCGAGTGAACTTTTTCCTCAAAGTTTACGGCCAGCTTCAGTATACTAGGTAAAGTCACTTGCAGAGGAGAAGGTTTGACAGTCTACGTTATTGTCTCCACTCTGAATGTTTACATAACAACAATTATTTTCAATCACAGAAAGGTGTTAAATGCGGTCAAAACAACCATGGAAGCAGACACCAACATAACAAGTGTATGTAATGTTGGTAACTGGTAATCATGGAAGCAATGGACACACTACTATTGTAGTTTCTATATTGTTCTTGTGTTATCTTTCTTGCCTCTAGCAGTATAATTGAACCTTAGCCGATGGTTTGTTCTGACAGAACTCGATTTTGTTGATAAAAACAGTACAGATCAACCAATTTTAACAGAAAGTGAAACGAGTAAATCTAGTCTGCTTGCAGAACTAAGTAAACAATCTTTGAGTGTGGTCAATTGTCTCCCTTCGAAAGTATCCTATATATATATATATATATAGGATACTTTCGAAGGGAGACAATTGACCACACTCAAAGATTGTTTATTTCCCCTAAATCTTCACTAACTGAGCCTTTGGATCCATAAACTGGTACTGATCCTGCCATGCTATCAGCCAGATTGAGTACTGATCCAATCTCACTTACAGAAGCACTTAAGGCTTTCGATGAAATTGAGTTCACCTGAAATTTAAAACAACATTTGAACTCTCATTAGTCATGTCCAAGTCTTCAGCATCAGGTTGATGAACTAAGAGAGGAATCAAGTTGTTTCAGACAAACCGCTTTAATTAAGCGTAGAATGGGCTTCTCAGCATCACATGATTCTTCAAAATTGATGGTTGAAGCATCAAAACCAAAGCCATCTGCATTTCACATTTTCTGTTGATGTGAGGTTGGTACATCAGCAGTGCCAGTGGCAAACCGTGTGATCGATTCTACTACATCAGTTACAGGTTCGTGTTCAGTCTTACCTGTATTCAAGTTTGAGGAGTCATTGGAGGGGAATTTCGCAGAAAACCCAGACTGTGAATTTACAGAATGAGAAGGGGATCCAGCTATTGTATGCGACCGCAGCATATTATGCTGGGTGGTCAGAGGAAAATGTCGAGGTAACTGGACAGGTTCGGCCTGAATGTGCCTGTGGGAAAAAATTGAAGGTGGAACTCCAGATTTAACAGCTGTCACTTGTCTAAATTTCAAGTTCTTGACTTCAGGTCTCTGATTTAGTTCTGTTTCATGCTTTATTCCTTGTGTCATTTTCACATCATTTACTTCATTCAACTGATGTGGCATTTCATCATCCTGCTGCATCTGATGTGGAACTTCTTGATTTCCCTTGATGAGTTGCTGACACATTTGGCTCTGTTGAGATTCTTGATTCTTCTTTTGTGCGGATACATGGTGCAGGGACTTTTGTTTTGCATCCATACGTTGAGCTATAAAAGAACTTCTTCCGGAATTCGCTTTTGCTCGTTCATTCCTGTTGTTTTTTAATAGAAATTTGATATCATTTGGCTGTGGAAGAGTGCTTAATGGCAGCTGTAGAGACCTCATGGAAACTTGATGCACTGGATTCACTACATTTTCGCGCTCTGAATTTGATTCACACAAATGCTGCTCTGATTTTATGTCATCTTGCTGTGAGATCACAAGATTAGATGGATACTGCATAGAATTATCGCCAAAAATTCTCATGTTGCTGTCCTGCAGATTTATTGCAGAACTCTGTGGGTTCATTGATTGCAATGGTGGTTTCTTTTGATCCTCTGGTGGCATTGCTTGATGAATTTGAGGATGCGGCTGCAGAGACTTCGGTAATGGGTGCAAATTAGGAGTAAGTTGTCCGTGGACAAGTGAAGAGGTTGGTTTTCTCGGCATTGCAAACTGAAAGACACAATTTATCTGCCTCTTAATTAGATCCAACTTCTCGGTAGATTTATTGCAATCAGGATAATCTAGATACTGCATAGCTTGATCCAATTTCAACCTTGATTCTTGATGAACAAAATCATTCTATAGATAAGCAAGAAAAAATTATTATTTTACAAGGTAAAAAATCTGTTCATGCAACGTGTTCCTACAAGAAATATGTCAAGTGCAAAAGTACCTGTTGGAGTAAATTGATGGCCCTTTGGCACATCTCTTTCAGTTCCACTACGCACGTACTCCTTGAAGACTCAGCCTGAAAGGTGATAAATCTCCAAAATAAACATTGGTTACTCTTTCTTCCGGCTTCTGCCGGCCAAAAACTCCTTTTGAGCATCAAAGCTCACCAAATACCACATTCCATTGTAAGTACTCACTGCATTTCTATTTTAACAAGTTCTATATGCTGGAAGATATACCTGCTGATACGCCTCCTCTTGCTTCGTCACAGAATGGGATTTTATGATTCCTACAAAACAATTACATCTATCATCAGTTCAACTTAGAATCTCTCATAAAATAGAGAAGGCAGGCAGAACAGGAGCTGTGCTGAAGGAACAGTTCCAAAGAAGTACCTGTTCGGGTTAAGAACCAGTAAAAAGCTACTGAAGGAGCAGGCACCATTATATTAATCAACTAAAACACAAATACATGATTGCATGATCTGTGGATCAAAGTCAAACAGCTTCCCTTGTAGCCTATATAACATTTGTTGGCTTCCTAACTCCCCTTGTCATATTTGTTTCTGAGGATATGTTTTGCATAAAGAAAGGTACCTGATGCTTGAGATCTGTGCTGTTCATCTTGCCGTGACAAATTTAGAATCTGTTGCAATTTTGGTGGCTGTGATGGAGACAACAGTTTCTGCTCTGGAGTCGGTGAACATGACTGCAAGCTTTGACAATCATTGTACGGGCATGGTAACTTCAGTTGATGATGCTGCGGATCAGGGACTCTGCTTTCTTGCGCAATTAATAGCTTTTGGCTCACATCAGTGGCAACTTCCTTTTGTCCCTTCGGCTGCTCTTGCTGCTGTGACAACAATAGTGGCAGTTCAACCATGGATGGTGGATTGTGAAGTGTAAAAGTAGCTTGTTGTGTCTGTTGCAGGTGCGCAGGGGTTGTTTGCGGGTCCCTCTTGACCATGGAAAGTGTTGAGGATTGAAGCTCTAGGCCGGAGCCTTGCCGGAATTTCAGAAATTCTTCCGGGTTATGCTGAGCAATAACCTGTGGTGAATGCAGTATTCCCTGTTCTTGCTCGCAATTTCCAGAATTACCAGAATGTTCCATTTCACCTTTTAAATTTTCTGAAGACTTCTGCAAATCGCCACGTGAATCTTTCAAGTTGGTATTCAGGCTAACATTTGACTTTGGGACCTGAGTTAAACCTCTGTCAGGAGGCCTTGTAGACGGTAAGTTGGCCAAGTTAAGCATTACAGGAGCAGAAGCTACCTTGTTCTCAAAGTTTGTTTGCAAATGCTGTTGGGCTGCTTGATGCTGGTTCGCCAATCCAGAATGATGGATAGTAAATGACTGATCTTGTTTGTGAACTTGGGATTGATTATTCTGAGGTTCTATAAATAAATAACATTAATAAAAGTGTTAAACACCTACGATGAAGCGTCTTATTAGTTTTTCGACCGTGAGGAGCTTCTGCTTGAAGAATATTATGTTGAAAGTTTTCATGGTGGAGGGTTTCGACTAAGGAGGTTCAACTCATGGAAACGGGCAGGAGATTTTTGTGAAAATAAATATTTTCCTTTTTTTATTTTAATAGAATTTTCTAGTTTTTTTATAAATAAAAAAGTTATAATAGCAGTTTAATAAGTGAGACTATAATAAATAAAAACTAAATGTTTTAAATGTTTTTGCATATATTATAATGTATTACAAACCTCTTCATTATAAGCAACCGAAAAAACCTAAGAAGTGTGCAAAGAGATTACACAGTACGGAGAAGAATATGGAGTCGCCAATCTAAAGTACTAGGTCCTCCAAAAATGTGGTTTTCAGACGGGATAGCTTCAGAAAAATATTTTGAAGAAGAAAAAAGTAATTCTACATGTTGTCCTTCAATACAAATTTTGATTGAAGCAGTTTACAAACTCAACATGTTTGAAAATGAGCACACAATACATAGCTTGGCTATGAATTATCATTTTGCTATGTCCATGCACACCAGCAGAAAACCAGCCAAGCTCCACAATTATAGCAAAGAAGGAAGGCAAAATTGTTTCCTTTGTTCTTGATATATGTACATATATATCATGAAAGAAGCAGGCATGGATAGAAGCTACGCATAAAAACGAAAACAGCATGAAGTAATTAGTGGTGTGGCAATCATGTCACTCTACCTGGATCTGAAGGCATTTCAGTAGAGAATGAAGAGCTCGAAGAAGAACTAGAAATTGTAGCGTTAGAACTTTTCTCTATCCTGCTTAGATATGAACTCTGAAATAAACAGTAAGCATAGTTCATAAATTTTCAGATTAACCTTGTCTTGTACTGCGGCAAAGGTTGGTCTATGTTCATATTAAATGGCAAAGGTTGGACCATGCTCAGAAAAACCTAAAGTCAATCCTTGGGCACAGGAAATGCTAGCTAAAAGTAATGAAAAACTGTTCAACATCTACCTTTTATGCCTGGTAAGTCCAACTTTCGCCTCATTTGATTATACAAATTCTTGTACTTGGTATATATACCAACACTTTTATACTCAGTTCATGTTCCTTTTCAATTTCCATATAGAAAAAACACAGATCTGTAGCCGAATTGGAAACCTAGATAGCTTCTTGGGTTCTATGATCTTGGTACGTAGTCGGCGGACAGCATGTTGGCAGAATGGAAAATAACTAGAAAAAACTGCTGAGAACTTTTGGGAATAAATGAAAGAAGACTGTCAAGAAACAACATGTTGGCCTCTAGTTTCACATAAGATGCCACAATCCCTATAGATATAAATCATGACGAAGGTTGTAAAAGGCATCACCATAATCAAAGAAGGCATGCATCAACGTCAAAACTTGTTTGTTTCAAAGAAATGGAATAGATTAGAAGTGCATAGCAGATCAAGATAGCTTGTCTTTGGTAAAGTTCAAAGTTATTTAAGAAATTAGGTGTGATGGGATTTAAATTTGATGGAAGAGTATTTCGGGGAGATAAATATTTTTATTATATTTTTATCTTGAGTCTAGGGTTTTTATTTTATTTTTCTATTAAGTACTATTAACCCTTTTCTAGTTTTCTAATTGGAATGGACATATATATATATTTGGCATTAGTATTTATAGAGTTTTTAAACATGTAAAACTTGAATGAATAAAAATTGAATATTTTAAATGTTTTTATATAATTATAATCTTCTTGGTTTTTAGGATTCTGATTAGTAATAAATCTTTTTATGCTTCTAATTACTCCAATTTGTATCAAAATTTAATGATTTTTAGTGATTAATTGCGTAGTAAGACACGTATGAAAGTATTCATGATGGAACAATACAGCCCGTACAAAATTTTTAGAGATCTATAATGAGATAACTCACATTTAAAAATATATATATATTGACTTCCCATTTGAGGAGATTATGCTCGAAGAACATAATGCTGGGTATTTTTATAACGGAGAATGATTTTCGCCTAGTAAGATTATACGCTCCACAAACAAGGGGAATCATGAAAACTATATGTAATTGGTGTGCAAATCATCATATTATTTCTTCCCAGTGAATTAAAATCAAGACCAATTTGAAGACTCTAAAACCACAACTAAACCCCATAACAATAAAATCTCTTAATTATTGATAAAATGGCATCTCACTTACATATCGTTGACAACATCTCGACGAAATTCTGCTGATAACTCACTTCTCCAGTCACTGTCTTCCATATGTTGACACCTCCAACTCCAATTTTCCTAATCCATAACAGGAAGAAGCAGAAATCATCAAGATTCATACACACATTACAGATTTACAAATGAAAAATCCATAAGAATTGGATGTTCTCAATAAATCAATTGCATAAAACAAATAAAAACATCAAACCATACATTTTGTTTTTTGAAAAACACACACACACATATTATAAACATCTTTTAGTGTCCTCTTACGTCCAACCCATACATTTTCACTTAATAAACCCTAAAAATCCCACAAAAACAGAATCATCCAAAACCTGAAAATCCATTTTTGAGGCATACCGTTTCCACGCGAAGAAAATGTGGTTTGTTTCGAAGCAACAGAAGCAATAAGATTTTGAAGATTTTCTCTTGAAAGCAGAAGAGCAGAGACGATATTGCGAGAGACTTGTGAGTCAAGGAAACGAAACAATACTTACGTTTTCTTCTGTTTTTTCTCCTGCTCGCTGTGAACTTGAAGAGGAGGGAAAATGGCCGGCTTTTATAGCAGGAGCCAGTGAGGGTAAGCGTTTAGATTTGGAAGCTTGGGCCCACTGATTAGGCTGTAACCTCTGTACTTATCCTTGCTCTTTTGGGCTGGAAATGGGATCACGCCAGGGGAGATTGAGTTGACGGTGTTCATCCCTCTCGAAGCCAATTGTAACTTCCTTATTTAAATGTTAATATTGGTGGGAGAGTAAGAGGATGTTTGTTGTTGTGTTTTAAAAATAGTTTTTAAAAAATATAATTTTTTAATTTTAAATTAATATATTTTTATATTTTTAAATTATTTTGATTTTTTGATTTTAAAAATAATTTTTAAAAAATAAAAAATATTATTGACATGCTTTTTCGAGTGAAAATAACTTTAAAAAATAATTATAATTACATTTTCAAATATATATTAAATTTTTTTCAGTGAAATTTTAGATGATTTAATGTTATTAATTATTTGTTACTTTTTTCTTGTGAATTAATTAAGTAGTTATGGAAAAATAAGTATATGGTATCCAAATTGTTAGTATTTGTTTACTGAAATTTTTAGCTGTCGATTATTTTATTTTAAAATTCTATCATAATCTTAATTCAAGTGGAAAAAGCATCATGTCATGCTAAGATATCTTTCCTTATATAAACCATACATGTATTTGCTAGAAATTGCTTTTCCATGACTTTCCTTATATTTAAACTCGAGATGATAATACAAAAAATAAATTCACTTATCATTTAAATAATTATATATAAAGAAATTAATTGTGCTTATCCCAACTCTTTCAAGCTTGGATTGTGATGACAATGAAAAAGATCAAGTTGATGGTGTCAATCTATCATCAAATATTTTTATTTTTGTTTTTATTTTTATTTGTCTTATTGATCATTAAAGGTGTGTTTGTTAACACGGTGATATGATATAATTTTTCTAATTGTTTTATAGATATTATTAGATTAGTTTTTTTGGTATATAGAATATAAGGCTTTATTTAGAAACGCAGAGCAACCACAAGTTTCGGATGAGTTGTTTTTTTGTATATAGAATCCAAGGCTTTATTTGGAAACACAGAGCAACCACAAGTTTCACTGCTACTCTTTGGTCCGGTTAAATGCATGCTAAGGTTAACCTAACACCGGAAAAATCATGGGAGTTTCATTCTGACTTGACCACGCGAAGCACATCCTCCTAACCATCGACCTAATTCCCTCATGATTTGGACCAACTAAAGAATTGCAGTAACTTTCCGGTGGGTGCTAGATGGTAAGTCCATGATGAGCAGTCTAGAACAGTTCAATACAGAAAAATATTGCCAGTTTAGAATGCTCGACGTGGTTGGATTGGTTTCGAATCATGCGGGAGCACACCCCTTCGGCCACCAGCGCAATCCCGACTAAGAGAATTATATATGGCAAGTTCTTGATGAGAATTGTCAGAACCAATTCAATGCAGAAAAAAACCAACTCAGAATGCTCTGTGTGATTGGAATGGTTTAGAACCACGTAGATAAAAGTTAATTTCACTACCAATACACGATGTGAAGAGATCCAAACATATTACAACAATGGTTTTATTGTCCAGGAAAGATTTGGATTTCTGTTCTGAGCTTGGTGGACGTTGAAAGATTTGGATTTCTGTTCTGAGGTTGGTGGACGTTGTGTAGTAATGGGGACTGTTCTGTGTATTGTTCTTTTGCTACTGCAGTTAAGGAGAAATGAATGCGAAGAAAGAGAAGGCTACAATGATATGAACGCAAACACAAAAACAAACGGGTTTTTTACGGTGGGTGGATGGTATATGGCGAGTTTATTATGAGAATTTTCGAAAATAATTCCACAGAAAAGAAAAGGGAAAATCAGAATACTTGTGATTGAATTAATTTTATTTCGAATTAGCACGTATTTTCTTTCATTTAGTGGTTATATATGGAGCCAACTTTTGAAGAGCTATGGTTTGACAGGCTTGAGTTTGTTCTGTCCATTAAACATGATAGAGAACAATAAATTGGTTGATTAAAATCAAATCAGGCATGCAAAAAAAAAAAAATCAA